TCAGGGGCTGCCCCAAAGAAGAGGGAGTCAAGCTATTCTCCAAAGCGCCTGAAGGCAGGACAAGAAGCAACGGATGGAAACTAATCAAGGAGAGAAGCAACCTAGAACTAAGGAGAAACTTCCTGACAGTGAGAACAATTAACCAGTGGAACAACCTGCCTCCAGAAGCGGTGAATGCTCCAACACTGGAAGTTTTTAACAAGAGACTGGACAGCCATTTGTCTGAAATGGTATAGGGCAGTGATGGCGAACCTTTTAGAGACCGAGTGCCCCAAAACCACCCCCGCTCCGCTCTGCCCCCACCCCGCCCCCAGCCCCACCCGCCCCCAGGGCCACTCACCACTTCCACAGATTGCCCAGGCGGCCCAGCAGCGCCATGGTGGCCACGCCCTCCACCCATACCCCGCAGCATCAACTGCACGCGCGAGGGCGGAGTCTTGTCCCCGCTGCCTGGCTGCCATGTCCTTGGCTGCGCCGCTCCGCGCGGGCAACACTTGGGGACGACTTTCCTCTGGGGGGGCTGCTGGTGAGGAGGGGACCACGGGGGGAGGTGAGGCTGGGGCGATGGCACGCATGCCCACAGAGAGGGCTCTGAGTGCTGCCTCTGGCACGTGTGCCATAGGTTCACCACCACTGGTATAGGGTTTCCTGCCTGAGCAAGGGGTTGGACTAGATGACCTCCAAGGTTCCTTCAAACGTCATTATTATTATTATTATTATTATTATTATTATTATTATTATTATTATTATTATTATTATTATTAAAAAATCTTCACAGAAGTGATCTTCTGTATTAAATGAAGAGCAATGCAGTATTCTATCTAGCTGCCCAATATCAGATGGATGTTCTCTGCTCTGAATCCCTGCCAGAGAAACTGTTTGGCTGTGCCAGTGGTGAGAATCTCCTTTATGGTGGCTTTCCAACTTCCAAGGGTTTCCCTCAAGAGTTCAACTTGCACCGGTGTTACCAGTATTTCACCCTCAGATCAGGCCCTATTTTCCCAGGCACTGGAAAATACATGCACGGTTTTTATTTATTCCGTTACATTTGTTCTGCCGTATTCAAATTTGTTTTGCTTTTAATATGGTTACTATTATTCTTGCCTTGTAGGTCATCTTTACCCAAAGTGCAATTTTAAAATATTAGCAATCTTTGATTGGTAAATTATACATACAGTAGTGGCCAAACTTGTGGAAACCTTTTGGGAAAAGTGTATTTTTGAGGTTTGATGGCTAATAACACCACTTTTTTTTGGGGGGGGGGGAGTAGTACCATAAAGTTATATATCAATGGAAAGATAATTTAATCAAGAATGTAATGCAACAAAATCTGTTCAATTATCTGTACTCTATGAAAAGCTATAGCCAAATAACCAGAAAAAGGAAGTACAACTTGCTTAGGTTGATCTCAGGGAGCTTTCCTTCATCTGATTGTAGCCAATGAGCATGAGTGTTTAGAGAGCCAATCGGGTGTCCTCTTGTTTTGGCAATGAGCCAATAGGATCACAGTAGGATCCAGTGATTGATGTCCTGTATTGAAGCTGAGAGGAGGACATTTGTCAGTGTGTTATGTGATCGCTATCAAGTCGGTTGGTTTTTTTTGTGTTCTTTCATTTAGTGAGCTTGTAAAATGTAATAAAATTAAAGTCATGTTGCAAAGAGTTGACTGTTTGCCCAGAAAGCGATGTAAAATAGTATTATTACGTGAACAAGGCTACAGTTATAAAGAAATTAGAAGAAAAATGGGTGGAAACTTAACCAAAGGTGGCATTTCTACTGTACACTTTTCCCAAAAGGTTTCCACAATTTTGGCCACTACTGTATAACTCACTCCCATAGAAAGAGACTCATTTTTGTTTTGGCTATTGCATGTATATATATATATATCAAACGTGAATGTGAACGTTTCACCTTCAACACGGTCACAATCCCTTTGGAGAAGTTTTCAGTGAGAAACAGCCCTGTTTCAACTATTCCACCCTGAGTTTGAAATCTTTTCAGAAAGATTAAAGTAGCCCTTCTGGAATAGAAAACAGCCATTTCAAGCTCAAAGTAGGATGTTGATCTTGTTCAAGTTAGGGACATTTTACAGTTCCCTGGACTGCTGTCTTTTCTTTCTAAGAATCGCTGTGTCCAAATGTAGATTTTAACTCGGGGGGGGGGGGACCTCTAATGATTAATGGCTGCTAGGAAAATCCCAAACCTCAACCTTTAACCTTTTTGCTCTTCTGAGAATCACACCTGTTTAGATCATTTCTGACGTGTGAATAGTGCTCAGTGGGACTAAGATGATAATGATCCTGAGTGTTCCACCTCTGGGGTGTTCTCTTCCAGAGTCCCTCTGCTTTTTGCTGTCGAATATTTCTGCCCGGTTGCTCATAACGGTTCATATTGTCACATTCCTCTGTATCAACAGAAGAAAAAAAATAGAGCAACACTGATTCAAGCATTAGTATCAACATGAAAGCAAAACAGATGTTGGATGGCACTCTTAATTAATTCACAGTTGTCCATCATGAGGTCAAGGAACTGCACATAAATTAGGTCTGGGCATAGAAAAGATCATTTTATTTCACAATATGATGATGATCAGAGGTAAGATATAAATGTAAAACTCAAGTTTTCTTCCTCCGTAACACATCAAACAACAGAAATACGATACTAGTTATGCTGAAATTAACTGGCTCCCGGTATAGCAAAGCTGCTACTTCAGTTCAATAAATTTTAATCATTTCTTTAGCATGAGGAATATAATAAAGAATCAAGCCGTTCCTTTGCTATCTATCCGAACGCAACTTCCAAGCGTTCGGATAGCCCTTATTCTTTTTTTTAAAAAAAAACACAAATTTTATTGGTTTTCCAGTTTTACATTTAAGTGCTTGGAAAGCAGCGTCAGTCAATAGTTCAATAACAAAGTCTCTAGTACATATCTCAGGTTGCATTATCAAAAATTCCTTCTCTATTTCCCTTAACATTCAATACATGTCATACTTAAATTAGTAAATTTCTAACCATGACAAACTCAATTAAAATATTTATCAATCTATGTTTTGCTTATACATATCCATATCCTGTTTTTTAAGTTTTAGCTAAGTTTTTAGCCCTTATTCTTCACAAGGATTTTTCCCTGCACTTATATAATCAATGATGAAACGCGATCTTATTCTTCACAAGGATTTTTCCCTGCACTTATATAATCCAATGATGAAATGCGATCTTATTCTTCACAAGGATTTTTCCCTGCACTTATATAATCAACGATGAAAGACGATCTTTGGGGAGTTTCATTAATTAAGGAAAAGTTTTAGAAAGTTCATTTTACCATGCAACATGAAACTTCTAAAAACAACAACACATCTGTCAGTGCCTCCCAAAACGATAGTCTGGTTTCCGACAACTGGATGAGGCAATTGTTTGGAAATCTTAAAAGCCAAACCAAGGCACCAAAGAAATGCAGCTGGAGAAGAAAAGTTTTAAGAAACGCGTTCAGCTTTCCACTTACCTAAAACTGTTCTTCTCATGGCTAATCCTTGGCTGCGAGGCCCTTTTCCTAGCTGTTGCTCGGCTGCCTACTCAGACATAGTTTTGCAGGAGACGGGGACAAACAGGCCTTCCTTCCTGATCACTCCCTGCTTGCGTAGAGTTGGGAAAGCAGCCCAGTTTGACCCTGTGACTTACAACTCCCGTCCTCCAAGTTGCATACTTCTTGCCACAGAACAATTGCTATAAATAGAGGGCAAGTTCCATCACAGGCTCCAAAAGGGAGCCAGAAAATTATAAACCTACGAATTACTTTAGCACTTGCTGGGGTCAATCCAGTCTTCGGGGCAAGATGGAGTTAGCTGATGAATTCATGAATGGCGCAATCTTGGGAGTTGAAAGCAGCCATTGAATCAAAGTCCTGTTTTCTCAACCCCCATTAAAGCAAGACTTGAATGCATCCAGTGAAAAAGAAGCCCGGCCTACACCTACAGCCAACTCTGACTCTTTTCAGATTTTTCCTGAACTTCCACTGGAATTCAAATCACTCCGCCCTGGATCTAAACATAACCGCTTTAGTCACTTAATTTCCAGTCTTCAAAAAGCTTTTCTGTGTACAGCACTTATCTAGCTAGTTGATTTTGGTGTGTGGGATTTTTGTTGTTGTTTAAACGAAAGGATACACTGTAATGTTAACCCTATTATACCAAAAGCATTAGTGAGAATTCATTTTAAAAAGACTAGTTCAGGGGTAGGCAACCTTGGCTCTTTTATGACTCGTGGACTTCAACTCCCAGAATTCCTGAGGCAGCCATGCTGAGGAGAAAGGGAGAGGTTTCCAAGCTGAGCCATGCTGGCTCAGGAATTCTGGGAGTTGAAGTCCACGAGTCATAAAAGAGCCAAGGTGGCCTACCCCTGGATGATGGCTCTAAAAATGGGAAAGAAACATAAGGTGAT